TATATTCTTGATTTTAAAGTTGTGAATCAACATAAAACTATGTCCTCTTTCTTGTGGATATTGGTTTTAGTGGAAATCAACAACTGTCAAAATGTTTTTGTCACACCTCCCTTTTCAGAGTTCAAAACTTTTCTCCCTATGCAGGCATTTTCCTTATGCTTTTCCTAAAAGAAAAAAAAGTATTTTTTTCAGTGCCATGCATAAGTATGAATATTTTCAAAGGTGTCTGTGTTATCAGAATTCACAATACCATGATTAATAAAAATAAAAACAAGGCACAACTTAATTAATAAATGAAAAGTTCATACATGACCTTTAACCGCAAAAAGCAAAAAAATGTAAATTTATCAATTTAATAAGATGAGTGGAACTCTTGTTATTGACATATTATATGAAGAATCAATGGGTTAGGTCATGTATCCCTTATCACAAAAAGCCTATAAATAACAATTTGAGAAATATGTATTTTTTAAGGGTACGTATAAAAAACAAAGAATAAATCCCTGAAATATTGAGAAATCATAGGTTTCCTGACTACTCAGTTGTCCATTTACAAAGAGAACAATATAGTGCTACATATTTAGTTTATCACTGCATGAAAATTCGGCTTTACAAAACAAGTAAAGATAATGTAAATTTATTATTTACAAAGCCTTTAATTGGCTTTTCTGAAAAAAGTCAAAGTTGGAAAAGGTAACCTTTACATTAACTTTACATGCACTTAAATATGATGTAATGTCCCACATTGTCTTGACTTTACAAAAAAGTAAAGTTAATATTTACAACCATTAAACACCATATTTAGGATATATTAAATCTGATAATTACAGATCTTAAATTTAATTAAATACCATCTTTAATTACCACAAAAGTTAATAATTTCTATTTTCCATTCTAGTGAATAAAGCCTTATGCAATTAATAAATGTTTTTTCTCCCAAGTCGATACTGCGGAAGTCTGGACATCATAATCAATTAATATATATACAAAGTAACAAAAAAGTTGACTTTAACTTTGTTTATTACAATTTTTTTTTACAAACATAAGATCAAAAACATCAAGATTCTTGACAGTATATGTTGCCAACATCCTATCCTGCAAATCACATACTCATGAATAAGTATCCAAGACAGAGTACATTTCAAGAAAATGTTTTTCATATGTGAAATGTTTTTTAATAAAACCAACTGTACATTCTTGAATTTAAAGTTGTGAATCAACATAAAACTGTGTTCTTCTTTCTTGGATATTGGTTTCAGTGGAAATCAATAACTGTCAAAATGTTTTTGTCACATCTCCCTTTTCAGAGTCCAAAACTTTTCTTCCCATGCAGGCATTCATCTAATGCTTTTCCTAAAAGAAAAAAAAACTATAAGTATATTTTCAGTGCCATGCATTAGTATGAATATTTTCAAAAGCATCTGTGTTATCAGAATTCTCAATACCATGATTAATAAAAATGAAAACAAGGCACAACCTAATTAATAAATAAAAAGTTCATACATAACCTTTAACCTCAAAAAGAAAAAAAATGTAAATTTATAAATTTAATAAGAGGAGTGGACCTCTTTCTATTGATATATTACATGTATATGCAAAATCAATGGGTTAACCGTTAAATCATGTATCCCCCAATATAATTAAAATTAGATTTTAGATCCGCTCAAATACTCGCTAAACATTAGTGTAGCGAGTAAGGGAGTGGAACTAACATCTAATTTTAATTAGATTTTGTATTCCTGATCACAAAAAGCCTAAAATTACAATTTGAGAATTATGTATTTTTTAAAGGGTACTAAACAAAACCAAAGAATAAATCCTTAAAATAAAGAGAAATCATAGGTTTTCCTGACTACTCAGTAGTCAGTTTACAAAAAGAACAATATAGTGCTACATATTCAGCTAAGCTGTACATGTAAACAGAATGATACTCAAGTTATGGTTTAGGAAGTCTCCTTCCCCGCAGTAACGCATTTTAACGCATATACCATTTCCTACTTCTAACGCAAAATCATGCATAGACTGATTCCCCGCAATCACGCATTTTCACGCACTTTAAAAAGTTCATTTTGTCTTTAATTTAATGCCAATTTCCTTCTATTTTATACTTGCAAACATCTCATCAAAGAAGAAAAGTCATTTTTGCATTAAAATATAGTGTCATAATATTATTTATGCTAAACTTTAGAGAAGCGTGTACCAAGCTAAAAGGTGCTTGCGGGGAAATATTAAAAGAAGAAGGTACAGTTTCATTACAAATAAAGCCCTATATTTTTCTAAAATATGAAAGTGATATAAGAAATTAAAATTCTTGTTTTCTGAATAATAGGAATTCTCTGCAGTAAGAATACACAATTGGTTTTTCTCATATGACCTCCTAAATACCAATTGTGACGTCATTAACTTGTGCATTTTCCCGTATTTTCTTAAAAAGTTGCAGAAGACCTCAATTTTCAGTGGAATTTTCTTTTAGAAAACATACTCTGCCACCGTCGCCCGGAAAGATTTTTAGATATGTGATTTTTCATAGCTGTTTGCACAATATATCCAAAATTCAAAGCGGGCGACGGTGGCAGACACTATTTTCTAAAGGAAAATTAGCTGAAAAACGAGTCATTTTGAAGCTTTTCTGCATTAAACTTGAAAATATACCAAACTAGGGCTAATTGTAACGGGAACCGTTACAGATGTTCCCCAAATGCTCCCCAACTCCCTTTTGGTGCCATACTCCCTTTAAGCTTCATTAAAAACGACAAACTCTATGCATTTTACACTTTAACAATGTTTCCCTGAAGTATACCGAGTATATTCAAATTTTAGCATTTGCACGCGTGCACATGTAAATGCATGTGCGTAATGACCATATTCTCTTGTCTACACTATCTATATACATTAATATAATAAAATAATAAAGCATTTAATCCAAAAGTATTAAAAAATACGCTTCATCAAGTGTATTTTTAATTTTATTCAACTCATGTGCATGCACGTGCTTGCATGTGCATGATGACCTTACCTTTTTGTAGGAATCCACTATGTCTATCTATGTTCTAAATCCCATCCTGTTTGGTTGAAAATCAAAGGAGTTATACCCATTTAAAGTTTAAGCCAATCAGATTGCAGCGCACGTGCATGCGCGTGTTTTCATGATACCTGCTATATATTATATTGTAGTATATCCTAATGCATGACTATGTTTAAAATTTCAAAGCATTTCGTCAAAAAACAAAAGAGATATTAAAATCTTTGTTTCAGCCAATCAGAGGGAAGCGCACGTGCATGCACGTGAGTTCGTGCTAATTTGACCATGTCATATTATCTAGACTATTAATATATCCTTATAGAATGAGTTTCAAAGCATTTCAATAAAAAATGGAAAAGTTATGACTATAATAAGTATATCAGTCATTTCACTCATTTCACGCGCACGCACGTGCATGCGTATGCGCGCAAAATGACCTTCGTTGTGCACACCTACACTTGACACCTATTAACCCTAAAAAGGTTTTAACTTAGTTGGGTGAACAGTTTCTGAGAACACTCGCGGACAAAAAAAGTACCGGAGAACAAAGAAGAAAAAAAAGAATAATAATAATAATAATAATAATAAGAAACCGAGTAAAAACAATATGTTCCCAAACTCCGATTGGGGAACATAATTAAGGACGTCATATTTCAAGAAAAGCTCTTCTTCATGCCATATTCTTTAATGATTTATCATATTCATCTACTCAACTATTGTTAAAGCCAATTTCATAACTTTTTAATAACATTAAATATTTAGGGCACAATAAAGCTCAAACCGTACCGTCTTCTTTCTATGACATGATCAGAACATTTAGTGTATGTTGCATAACAATTCAGTAAGTTGTTAAGAGATATACATGTATGTACCTTTTTCCCCAATAGCATGTTTCTGCTCATGATCTTTTTCCTGATATGGAACAGTAAAAGGACTTGAGGTGAGAGTCCCTCAAATTGAAGATGACAATCATGCTGAAATAGAATTAATACTGTGATTGACATTTTATACATGTGGACAAATAGAGTTAATATTTATATAAAAAAAAATTGAGTTTGAAGCACACGGTCACCAAAGAATGAATTTATTTTGAAAATTAATACACAATGCAATCACAAATAATAGTTATGAATTGCGAAACACCCTTCAGGGTTCGACATTAATGATAGTCCGTTAGTCTCAGTCAGACTAAAACATTTTCATTCGGACTTAAAAGACTTGTGGCTGATTAGTCGGAAGGGAATAATAAAGTTTTCTGGAAAAAAAAATTTACCGATGTTCAATTATCGACAACTTTCACTGGAAAACCCTGTATGTATTTTTAGCTTTCTAGCTTCTTAGCGGGAAGTTAGGTAATTCTGAGTCAATTCGGTGCTTAATTTTAGGAATCACTGGTATGAAATAAAACATTTTAGCAATCATGATTTAGTATGACACATAAACAAAAATGTCGAATGTTTGAACGATGTAATCATGTATAGAGAAAAACGAATGAGATCAAAAATACGATAGTAGTTCCTGATCGCACGATTTCAGCGAATCTTGATACAATACATTTCATGCGAATGCTTTGTTTACACCAAATAAATTTAAAAAGTACATTGAAATGTTTATTCTACTGTGAAATCACTAATGTTCGTGGGGGGTTAATTTTAGTTGTTTTCGTGGTATGAAGAGACCCACGAATTTATATCCACCACGAAATGTAAATTTTCATGCGCACAACTACTAAAAAGTTCTTCATCCACGAAATCAAATCCCCACGAACCAACATTTTTTCCTCAAACCACGAAAATTTGACCGCACGAAAATATGTGATTTTACAGTATTTATTATTGATATTTTTTTACCGACTCATAAAATCGGCTGCAGACTAGTAAAGGTAACGAAGCACTAGTCCGGCCTGACCAAAGCATGAAAATGTTAGTGTCAAACCCTGCCCTTATGTTTTTTTTAATCATGAATACTTTAAAATTAGATCTAAACAATACTTGCCATCTTTAGTATGAAAGTTGATAACCCGCCTCTTCTTCACGACAGATCTTTTTATTTTCTCATGGTAGGCTGAGTAGCTTGAACCTATTCAAATGAAATTGAACATTTTTTTTACAAATATATGACGATACTGACTCCGGAGCAAGTCAAGCTTACTGCTAAATAATGTAAAATGTTTGTTCAAGTAACATTTCATGATACTTATTATTTGATTTTTTTAAAAAAATGTTTTTGTACCAAAGAACATTGGGATCCTTAATCTGGGTAATCATGTTTTGTCATCTTCCTCGCCCCGTCTTGATGTTTTCCCTTCAACAATCTACATGCTGATTCACTATACCTGTATTTGAACAAAATGGACACAGTTTAAAATACACAATGATATATATAAAACAAACTTATTTGTCAATTTTGGAGTTGAAACTCTTAGCCAAGGCATAATTACATCTGTAACTAAGTTTTATGATAATTGTTTGTGTAAATTCTCAGTAATAAGCAAAAACCCGGTTTTCAGTTTCAAATTCCAGGACCGGCTCGGTTTTCACTACTCATTTTAGCCCCACTCCAGAATTGTTTTTCTTTATCTTGTTTAATTCATACACATTTACAGAATAAACTGAAACACATAAACATTTAACCCCCAAATCATCATAAGTACTTATCTAATATTCTGGCAGTAAATGATTTATACAGCGTAGTTTTGCCTGACTTTCATTGTTTCATGTACCGATCTATACTGAAGTGAAAGTGAAAACGGCTGGAAATCGTAAACAAACCTGCAGTGCATGCCAACCAGGGGGTTCGAGCTGTTGTCAAGCCAAGAATCTTCTTAAATCTAGATGAGGTTTCAAAAAATTACCACTGGTCGCAAACTTTGTCAAAATAACGATGCAGACCCGCTCAACTTAATATTTGAAATGATTGGCTATTCAACCGAATACACAGAGCCATATTTGGGTTACTCTTCAAAGTAGATCGTTCATTTTACATTCGAGAAGAGTTTACATATTACTTGAATGAAGAGAATAACATAATACTGAGGTGAAAATTGTATGTAAGATATGTTTTTAGTAGTTGACAATAAAGGCTGTAAATATGCGGGAGATTTTATTGATGTCGAGGCTTGTAAACAAAACCAATAAACGTAGGACTTATTCAGGGCATTCGGCAATCCTCGGCTGACTCCTCCACGCGAGGTACGAGTCATCCGAGGAACTCCGAGTAATTGGAAGCAGTCTAAAATGCAAGAAATTTCCGCCAAGAAAACATTAAAGAAAGGGATTTTGGATGTTGTCAGCTGTATACATTAAGTGCAACGGTGACTGCAAGGTAATACATGTATCTTATTTGTTGCGAATAATTCGTTTCATTTTATTATGGAAATTCATCTGTCCAACACTGGCAGAAATATAATAAATCTGATTTCATAATTCCTACCCTGTTCCTCCAAGTAACACTCTTCGCTCTCATTTTTTTAAAAAAAAATTTTCATTGTATATTTTTGTAGAAACAAGGAATGGGGAGCTTATGCATGCTGCTAAGGATGGAAAGGTCTTGTGTTTATTGGTTGTGCCCGAGACATCAGTCACAGGTGTACCCTATATCCATTTTAGGTAATGACTTTTGAGTTTTTTAAGCAGAGGGAACAAAGCATTTTTCATTCAATATAAATGTAAAATTCTAGAATTATTTTTTTTTCAACATTGCTGGATACTCACTACATGACTTTATCTGTAGAAAAGTATTTAAATTATTTTCTCACATTTTTTAACATGTGTTTAAAGAGGCCGGGTATGGTGAAGAGATAATTCATTTTTTATTCAAAATTTTTTTTTCCCATGCATTTGTACAGGGAGTCTTTATACATTTGAGGTGAGCGGCAGTTTTAATTTTGAAGATTGGTGACTTTCAGATGTTGTGATGAAGACTGTTGAAAGGGATTATCAACATCGAACGTAAACAATCCATATGAATGTGCAAGTCAGGTGAGGATTGGGCCTAAAAAGATTATTTTTGTTTCCTGTAACCTGACCGACCCATTCAAATTATCCCTGGGTGGATTTTTTTCCCTGACAAATGGCAAAACTTTATTTGATCAATCAGCTGATTCCATTTATTAAATTAAAACAATAGCTTGTAGCTTAATTTGAGACATAAAATATGTCAATCTAGTTTACATTTACCTTAAATATAAAGAGTAATCATTAGTGTAACAACTGTTTCCCCCTAAAACTTTCTGAAGTTTGTTTTCTGTCGCTAGGCAGCCATTTTTTATGCCATGTCGGGTGTCCACTGTAAATATAACACCTGCTATTTTCAGTCTCGGGATGTTTCACCATTCATAAGCAAAATAAAGAAAAAATTCTGACCTACCGACCCTTGATTTTTTAGGAATGTTACAGGAAACAAACTTATTTTTTTTAAGCCTCGGACTTCAACGTGTAATTAAGAATTGTTTATAATGCATAGCTTAGTGAAAGCACGCCACAAACATTTTAAGTATCTCAGTAAGTTTCATGGATATTACAGATGTATCACTATCATATGTTTGACATTGAGCCGCATTGTCAAAATTTCCATTATGTTTAGTTATACATGTTTTAAGTTACTTAAGTATGTCTTCAAAAGCTTGTGCTTTAATTTCAATAGAAGTATGGAAATCCTCTTTAAAAATTGTATTGTTTTTCTTTATAATTTTGAAAATGATCATTATTAGGACTTGTACAACACCAGAGTACCTAGATGACTGTTGAACTAATTGGTGAACAAGAAAAGATGTCAGAGAGGGGAATCCAATGCAGATGTCATGATAAAGAATATATACTCTTATCAATGATATGATCAAGAATATGTAAACTTGTAAAGATCTAAAATATCTTATCTGTAAATCACTCTTCATTACTTGATTGTTCACACATTATCATCTACGCTTATGCTATAAATCTTATCTGTATATTAATCGCCCCCTCTTATTTAACCCCCTGCTGATTGTTATGACCTGTGTATTGACTCCTGATCTTAAGGATCTTGTAATGTGCTCCTGATCGTCAGGAGCGGATCTTGAGTATATATATATATATATATATATATATATATATATATATATATATATATATATATATATATATATATATATATATATATAAAGCACTAAAATGACCAACGACACGAACAATAAAAATTGTCAAATTTTCGGGACGCCCTGTCCCTTCCTCAGGACAAAGAAAAAAGTTAAAAAGTCATAAAAACAAAGGAAAAAGAGAAACACAAAGAACTAGCACTACTACTAAACTACTAAACACTAGATATTTACATAATTACATGTTGAATTGGAAATATTAAGAACACTGATAAAGAAAGAAATCCGGACCGCTGTGAAATGCGTCCGGTCTATCGGGTATACTCTGGTGGAGTACCAGAGTATACCCGATAGACCGGGCGCATTTCACAGCGGTCCGGATTTCTTTCTTTATCAGTGTTCTTAATATTTCCAATTCAACATGTAATTATGTAAATAGCACTTCACCAGAGTATACCCGATAGACCGGACGCATTTCACAGCGGTCCGGATTTCTTTCTTTATCAGTGTTCTTAATATTTCCAATTCAACATGTAATTATGTAAATATCTAGTGTTTAGTAGTTTAGTAGTAGTGCTAGTTCTTTGTGTTTCTCTTTTTCCTTTGTTTTTATGACTTTTTAACTTTTTTCTTTGTCCTGAGGAAGGGACAGGGCGTCCCGAAAATTTGACAATTTTTATTGTTCGTGTCGTTGGTCATTTTAGTGCTTTATATAAATTTCCATCCGTGACCTTGTATCTACTTGGTAGATCCGACATTTATGATATACAGTGTTGTTGGTTTTTTAGTGCTTTTTATATATATATATATATATATATATATATATATATATATATATATATATATATATATATATATATACATGTATAGTGCGACAGAATTTTAGAATAAGATAGGAAGATGGAAATATAGAAGACTTAGTAGATAGAACTGTTAGAGATAGATAAAGTTACTCACTTACTTGGACTATTACCTAATATTTCTTGGATTTATATGTACATGTGATTGTTTTACTTGGATTTTGTTTTTTGTGAATTATTTTTCCTGAATTTTTATATTTGTGATGTGCCGTGTAAATAAACTGTAGACTAGAATTTCGGCATTTATTTTCAAGATGTAAGGAACAAGGATAAGTTAATTTATTCATGCAAACTGACATTATGAAATGTGTTGTAAGACCGCCCGGTGCGGCGCTACAAACTAACTAGGAAATATCTTGAAGATTTATAGATGAACATGCAAGCATTCATGATTTTGAATGTTATTCAGCCAGAGAGTTTTTGCACAAATTTAATTTTCAGTACAGTAATTTAACTGGATGTGTAATTTTCAGTACAGTTATGTAAAATGAATATGTTACTTATTATGATTGTCAATTTCTCAAGAGACATAATTGTAGTAGATTTATACGATCACTTACGCAGAACAAAACACACAGAACTTTTTTCTCTGTGTGCATCATACACTTGTAAATGTTTTACACCACCATAGTTACATATTTTCCATTGATGACGTGTACGTTGAGCACAAACATGAAAATATGTGAAGCGGACACATATGCAAATACACATGCATCGGCACAACCTATTACATATTTTCCAAGGTGTGTGAAGTCGAGCACATACATGAAAATTTGTGGAGCTGGACACATACACAAAAACACATGCATCTGCCACAACCTATTACATATTTTCCAAGGTTTGTGAAGTCGAGCACATACATGAAAATGTGTGAAGCTGGACACATAAATAAAAACACATGCATCTGCCACAACCTATTACATATTTTCCAAGGTGTGTGAAGTCGAGCACATACATGTGAATGTGTGAAGCCGGACACATATGCAAATACACATGCATCTGCCACAGACATAAAAATCTAAACTAAGTCAAGCTCAGACAGGCTTACTGGATGAAGCTGGACTCATACATGTTCTCATACATTTTGCAAACTGCATCTTCACATATATTCTAAAAGATTTTTCAGCATTTTTGTGTTTGTGAATATGTAAATTGCATCATTTTGCATTACAAGTTGAAGATGTCAAGATGTTATTAGCCTGTATATAAGCGCACATCAGATAACCTTTTATGTACTTTTTTCCCCACATTTTCAATTCAATTTAAACTGCAAAGTTTATTTTGTATATGTACATGCACCATAAAGAATAAATAATATTGAACTGATATTATATTTTAAAGCGAAATTGGACCTCCATTTCATAAGCAGAAATGTGAAATTTTTATATCTATCATCTATATTTTTTTTAATAATTTTGTCTTACATGTATCTGAATATTTGAAAGAAAACAAAAGTCAAAGATAGTTCAATATAATGTTTATGTTCAAGGTTATAACTGGATATTTGTGCTGTATGATTTCTGACTCATCATATGATGAGAAGCCATAATACAGAATATTTTAAGATCATTTTTGTTTGGAAAATGAGAATTGTCAGTATGCCATTTTTTTCCATTGTTATATTATTAATTACTGTATCATTATTAATATCAATTTACATATAAAAGATCTTGCCATCCAATCCAGAGAGTTGTAGGCAATCCTGGTGCGCATAATAGTTTTTTTTCCGCGCTTCGTAGTATAGTGGGAGCACATTGTATGATAGGAACACATATTTATGGTTTTGCCTGTATATGTGGGCTTGGCTGAAGGAAGGCCAATGAGAGAGAAGTATTCAGTAAGGTGTTAGAATCATTCTAAGCCAGTGCTCTTCAATAGACACATGTTTGTTTTGTTGTTTTTTTTTTTTGCTTTATATATATAATATATATCATATTTGTATAAATATACTGGAAATGGAAATAACGAAACTGATGAAATGTATTTTAATTTCGATTTTTTTATACATGCAAATATTATAGGGTGTGAATGCATTTTTAAGTACTGCACCGAATGTACGTCCGGCATTCTCCCTTGAGACATTATTTACATAGCGACGGACACAGGTTTTCCATAGTTAACCATCTATGGTTTTTTCCTGGGCGGTTTTTAATGTCTGTGATAGGGGTATAATTTATTACATTTAAAATATTTTACAAATACATTGCAGTGCTTTATTGTTTCACATTCAATGTAATGTTTGTTCAATATTTATGTATTGTTATCAAAATGAATGCCATCTGCTCCAACTAAGCTAAACTGGCTTACAGCATAGGTGTTCTATTATTTGAGGTGTAGTCTGTCAAATAATGATGAGTCGAGAATATACTAAGAGGGTCTCTGAGGAAACTTGCCCTTGAATGTTTATGTAAAATCTGAATTAAAAAAAATAATCAAACTTTGTAATTTTCAATCTTTGTCTTTTTATTGCCTGTTTTAGTAAATGATACATGTGATCTTGTATTGTTTGTAACAGTTTATGGTCAACATTTATAAAAAAGAAGTTAAAACAAAAAAGCTTTCGGTATTTCTTTATCAAAAGCAATTAGACATGAGTTCTCCATCTATCTGACATAAGCAAATCAGATAACAAAAGTTTTGCAAATCATTAGGAATTTAAGTTTTGTTGTACCTGTATTCTGATTTACATTTTTGATTGTCCCTCTGCATTATTTCAAGTTGAAAAACATTTAAATTTGTTTGATTCTGTAGATGACCATTTCTAATACTAATTTCAACTTGAAATGGAAACGAGATACACATGTAATTAAAAAATATCTTTGACATTTGTCTTAAAACTCTGGGTAACGACTAGATCAGATTCTTTAAACTAACAGTGAAAATCCAAAATATAAGTCTATTAAACAATAATCAGCATTTAAATAAGGCTTTAATAAAATATGTATATTTAATGAACTTTAATATGGCATTTAAGGTGAAAGGTTATATTTAATTATCTTTTTGTGTAAGTAAAGGTTACCTTTACACCTTTACTTTTTGTAAAGTTAATACAAAGATGACCTTGCTTTTTGGAGCACCTTTAATGAAATTTACTTTGCAAGTAAAGTTTTGTAAAGGTGTTTTTTCAAGCAGTGTTAGCTGTACATGTATACAGAATGATACTCAAGTTATGGTTTAGGATATATGTACCTTTTTCCCCAATGCATGTTTCAGCTCAGGAACTTCTTCCTGATATGGAACAGTAAAAGGACTTTAGGTGAGAGTCCCTCAAATTGAAGATGACAATCATGCTGAAATAGAATTCATGATCATACAGTGATTAACATTGTATACACCTGGACACATATATAGTCAATATTTTTATTAAAAATTACGAGTTTGAAGCAAACTGCTGCACTTGGTCACCAAAGATTGAATTGATTTTGAAAATGAATACACAATGCAATCACAAATAATAGCTATAAATTGATAAACACCCTTATGTTATTTTTTTTTATCAAGAATAATCTAAAATTAGTTCTAAACAATACTTGCCATTTATGATATGAAAGTTGAGAACCTGCCTCTTCTTCATGACAGATCTTTTAATTTTCTTATGGTAGGCTGAGTAGCTTGAGACTATACAAAGGAAATTGAACATTTTTTTTTTACAAATATATGACGATATTGACTCCCGAGCAAGTCAAGCACTAAATAATGTAAATGTTTGTTCAAGTAACAGATTACATGAAATTTATTATTAAAATGTGCTTGTACCAAAGAACACTGGGATCCTCAATCTGGGTAATCATGTTTTGTTGTCTTCCTCGCCCCGTCTTGATGTTTTCCTTTCAACAATCTGCATACTGAATTCACTATACCTGTGTTTTAAGAAAATGGACACAGTTTAAAATACAAAATGATATAAAAAAAATAAATAAACTCTCAAAGTTGAGAGTTTATATTTATAGGTGTAGTACTTTTTTTAAAACGTTATTTTTCTTGCCTGATCAGAATATTTATTCAAGCAACTTTTAGAGTGTATTTAATGCAGATACAAATTAAAAAAAAATATTTTACATTTATCAATCCGGAAGACAAGCCCCTATGATATTCATACACCTTTACAGAATAAAGTGACGCACATAAACATTTAATCCCCAAATTATCAAAAATACTTATCTAATATCCTTGCAGAAAAAAAAACATACAAAGCGTCGTTTTGCGTGACTTTGATTAGTTTCATTCTTTCACAACATGCACAATGTACTGATCTGAAAGTGAAAGTGAAAACGGCTAGAAATCGTAAACAAACCTTTAGAGCATGCCAACCCGGGAGTTCGAGCAGTTGTCAAGGCAAGAATCTTCTTCAATCTAGATGAAGTGTAAAAAAACTAGAAAACTGACCAGTCAGCAAGGGCCCCGCCATGGGGTAGAATTAAAAGGGTGCAGCTTACAGAATGATTAAGAATGTACGAAAAATAAGCAACAGCAACTGTATTCTTAAAATTTCAAGATAATTCCTGACTATTCAAAAACCTGAAAATAATATCATTGTATTTACATTAGGCAGTAAAGAACAACTTAACATTGAATATATATTTAAACAATTATGAAGCTTGTGTTATATAAAATGCCAGCCTTCAATGAATGCAAATATGACATGAAGGCTTGACCTTAACTTCAATCAAACAGCAGTTGCAGACAAAGGTTTTCATTAATCTTAAAGTGACAGATAAAGAAAAGCCTACTAAATTTTCTACAGGAGGCTAGATAATTAATCCCAAGGGATTAATTGTACCTCTCTCATCATTTTCTTCTTAAGTTACAATAAGAACTTTTTCAGTATTAATGATAGAATGGGGTTTTTATACAACTACCTTAAAAATTAATAATATTCTTGAATTAACATAAAGTGAAAAAATTAATAATATTCTTGAATTAACATAAAGTTTAAAAAGTAAATCAAAAACTCTTCTTTAATCTATTTCTTGTTTTTAGAATTCAATGAAATCATAACTATTAAACAAAAATAAATTATAAAAATTTATATTTAAATCCACATTTCAAAGTGTTCATAGCATTCCAAATTGACTTTACTTCAAAACAAACTTCATTTGCAGACAGAGGTGGTAATTCATCTCAATGTGACAGATAAAGATAATGCTCTGGATTTTCTTCAGGAGGAAAGCTAATTAATCCCAAGGGACTCATAGCAGCATTCAGTTTACAATGGGAACATCTTCAGCAGTTACCTCTCTTTGCCAATGCACTCTTATACAAAGTTAAGGAATCTACCCCACCACCCCAGCTCCAAACCAGGGGACTTAGAGAACCAAACTTAGCATCAAAATAGGTATTTCTGCCTACTGAACTACCATACAAAATCTCTACTTGATTGGGCAACCATAAAAAAGTTGTCCATTCATTCTTATGCATAGTTAAGGAATCTACCCCACCACCCCAGCTCCAAACCAGAGGACATAGAGAGACAAACTTAGCATCAAAATATGTCTTTTTGCCTACTGAACTACCATACCAAATTTGAACTTAATTGGGCTACCATAAAAAAAGTTATTAGGAAAAAACAGAAAATTTGTGGACGGAAGAATGACAGACGGACAGACAGACGGACAGACAGACAGAGTGATTACTATAGGGCACCCGCAAATCCTTGCGGGGCCCTAATTACCACTGGTTTCAAACTTCGTCAAAATAACGATGCAGACCCGCTCAACTTGATTTGAAATGATTGGCTATTCAACCGAATACACAGTGCCATATTTGGGTTACTGTTCAGAGTAGATCGTTCGTTTTACATTCGAGAAGAGTTTACATATTACTAGAATGAAGAGGATAACATAATACTGAGCTGAAAATTGTGTGTAAAGTATGTTTTCAGTGTAGTTTACAATACAGGCTGTAAATGTGCTGGAGATTTCATTGATGTTGAAGCTACAAAACCAATAAACGTAGGACTTATTCACGGCAATGTATGGGAACCAGAGCAGGGAACCAGTCTAGAAGGCAAAGAAAATTCCGCCAAGTAAACAACAAAGTAAGGGATTTGGTCAGGGATGTTGTCAGTTGTATACATTTTGTTGGCCGGTGACTGCAAGGTAATACATGTGTGTTATTTGTTGCGAATAATTCGTTTCATTTTATTATGGAAATTTATCCGTCCAAACACTGGCAGAAATATAATTAATCTGACTTCAAAATTCCTTCCTCTGTTCCCCTAAGTACATGTAACACTCTTCGCTCTCATTTTTTTTTATTTTCATTGTATATTTTTTGTAGAAGCAAGGAATGTGGAGCTAATGCATGCTGCTAAGGATGGAAAGGTCTTGTGTTTATTGGTTGTGCCTGAGACACCAGTCACAGTTGTACATTATTTCGGAAATAATTAAATGGAATCCATTTTAGGTAGTGTCTTTTGAGTTTTTTAGCTCACCTGAGCCGAAGGCTCAAGTGAGCTTTTCTGATCACATTGTGTCCGTCGTCCGTCCGTCCGTCCGTCTGTCCGTCTGTCTGTCCGTCCGTCCGTAAACTTTTCACATTTTCGACTTCTTCTCAAGAACCATTGGGCCAATTTTGACCAAACTTGGTACAAAGCATCCTTGGGTAAAGGGAAATTTAAATTGTTAAAATGAAGGGACATATCCCCTTGCAAGGGGAGATAATCAAGAAAAGACAAAAATAGGGTGGGGTAATTAAAAAATCTTCTTCTCAAGAACCACTGGGCCAGAAAAGCTGAAACTTATGTGGAAGCATCCTGGGGTAATGTAGATTCTAAATTGTTAAAATCATAACCCCCGGGGATTGGGCGGGGCCACAATGGGGAATCAAAGTTTTACATAGAAATATATAGGAAAAATCTTTGAAAATCTTCTTCTCAAGAACCACTGGGCCAGAAAAGCTGAAACTTATGTGGAAGCATCTTTGGATAGTGTAGATTTTAAATTGTTCAAATCATAACCCCCGGGGATTGGGCGGGGCCACAATGGGGAATCAAAGTTTTACATAGAAATATATAGGAAACATCTTTGAAAATCTTCTTCTCAAGAACCACTGGGCCAGAAAAGCTGAAACTTATGTGGAAACATCCTGGGGTAGTGTAGATTCTAAATTGTTCAAATCATAACCCCCGGGGATTGGGTGGGGCCACAATGGGGAATCAAAGTTTTACATAGAAATATATAGGAAAAATCTTTGAAAATCTTCTTCTCAAGAACCACTGGGCCAGAAAAGCTGAAACTTATGTGGAAACATCCTGGGGTAGTGTAGATTCTAAATTGTTCAAATCATAACCCCCGGGGATTGGGCGGGGCCACAATGGGGAATCAAAATTTTACATAGAAATATTTAGGAA